AGCATGAGAATCACAGCTGGGACGGAGAAGAGTATTTTTTTAACGCCCAGGGAGAGGAGTTTAGAGCTAAGCAGAAGGTGTTTGTGCTCGATGAACAGAGCTGCACGGTTCCGACCAGCCTAGGCACTGCTTTGTGGTTGGCTTTGGGAGCTTACCCTGCCTTATTTTGAAAACCCACCTATTAAGTTGTGTGGTCATCCTGTCCTCCCCACCGCAACACCGTAGCTGCTTCTGTGTTTAAACATCTTCCTGGCATCCAGGCTTTCTGCTGCGGTTTTTCTTTGCGCTTGTGTCTGGTCGCTAAGAGTTGCTAAATTGTTCACTTTTCTGCAAGCTTTGCAACGCTTCTTTACCATAATGGTTTGTCTGGCTTGGTTGGGGTTTTTTTTTGTTTGGTTTTATTTTTTTTGTGGTCCGAGACATTGATTACTTGGGAAGAGCATGCTGCAAGCAGCTGAGTACCTGAAATCCTGGACACAAGGCTCCGATTTGTAGTGGAAAAGCTCATTTTTTTCCGCAGCAGCGAGGTTCCTGGGAGCTTTTCCCACAGGGAGAGGCAGTTGCTCTTCCACGATTGGGTTGTTCTGCCTCGAAGCCGAGCAGAACAGGCGTCGGATGCTCTTGTGTGGAGGGAAATGTTGGTTATTGTACAAACTGCTTGGCTCTGGCTGTAGCGCTGGGGTTTCATCACTGAGGATTGTGTTGCCAAGCTTTCATGAGAAGCTTTGACTACATTTTCAAGGTGGCGTTCTAGTTTCTCGTCTGAAGTGTCCCGTTTGATAGCCTTTTTGAGCCAAATATGTGATTTACGAGGTGTAACGACAGGGTCAGGCTCCTTGGTTTAACAAGCCTCACGTTTGGCAGCAATTAGCGCGTCTCCCGAGGCTGTGCAGCGACGTCCCTCGCCACTGTTATCTCCGACCAGCAGCAGTGGGGAGGTCCTTCACGGGAAGCCGGAATTGCTGGGATTTTGACCCGTGATCTAGGTCAAAATTTCTTCCTCTGTTTTGGTTTAATTCCTTTGATGAGGAAAACAGGGCGTGCTCGTGCCGCAAGCATCTTCCGTGACCTGTGAGACCCAATGGTTGATTGATTGAGCGGTTGAGCAGCCTGGAGGAGAAGCAAGGGGAGGAGGAGGAGGTTCGGTGGGATGAAGGAGGTGACGGCAGGCAGCGGGCAAGGCAGGCTGTGCAGATTTACTGCGTTGTGGACGCTGTGGCAGCACCTCCGGCCGTCTCACGGCGTCCTGCTGTTCGTTGCAGTGCCATGGGAACGGTGGTGCTGGACGGCCAGATCTACGTATGTGGTGGATACGACGGAAACTCATCCCTCAACTCCGTGGAGTCCTATTCTCCGGAAACAAACAAGTAAGAGCTCTTCATGTCCTAAAGCTTATCCATCTCGTTGCTGCTAGGGTAGTGTTGTGCCGTGGCACCTCTGGGTGTCCAGGCTATAAAAGAAACGTTGAATGATGTGGAAAAGGCTTTACGTCCTGACGGTGGAGCAGCATCCCTCCTCGCAGGAGTTTACCTGGGTGCAAGTGAACAAAACCATGGTTTAAATAAAATAGTCGGTCAAAGGAGCGTTATCATAGAATCACAGAATGCTTTGGGTGGGAAGGGACC